TGTATTTTCAGCATCATTACTCCAGTCTTCAGTGTCACATGATCTTCAGAAATCAGTATAATATGCTGATTTGCAATTATTATCAATTATTGGTGCTCATTTATTCATAATAGTTCTTATTATTGAATGTTGAAATGTTAAAGGCAGTTTTTAATGTATATTTTAGTGGAAACTGTGATAGATTCATAAGTTCGTAAGAATGTCTTTACTGTCATTTTTGATTAATTTAATGCATATTTGCAGAGTAAAAGTATTTATTTTTTTAACCCAAACTTTTGAAAGGTGTATCACGGTTTCCACAAAAAAAAATGAAGCAGCACGACTGTTTTCAACATTGATAATAATCATAAATGTTTCTTGAGCAGCAAATCAGCATATTAGAATTGATTTTACTGTATTTTTGATCAAATAAATGCAGCCTTGGTGAGCAGAAGAGGCTTCTTTCAAAAACATTAAAAAATCTTTAAAATTCCAAAATGTTAGTGTATATAATTTAAAAAATGATTACATATAAGGAAATTATAATAAAAATCCATTTCAAGTTGCTAAAAGTGTCTTGGAAGTGAAATATCAAACCTCAGTATTTGCTGAAGATCTGATCTGATGTTGTCTCTGGTCCAGGTTCGCTGGGGAGGGAAGGGCTCTACTGAAGAGGGAGCAAAGCTGGAAAAACCCAAAAACGCTGTCATAAAGATGCCCGAGCAGGAGTTCGAACCCTTTGAACCCAAGCCCAAAAAAACAAACAGGAAGCCAGTTCAAGACAGGAAGTGGTATTCTCCCATTAGGGTAAACTTCCTTTGTCATTGTCATTATTGTTTACTGAAGTTAGTGGCCTTCAAAGCACAATGTAAGCATTACTGTCTCCTGTTCAGGGTAAAATCGATGCGATCCTGGCTCTTTTCCGACGTGGATATGATCAAGTTTCACTTATGAGGCCACAACCAGGAGATCATGTGAGTATCTAGATGACCAAAGAGTCTTAAAGGGGTCATATGATGCTATTTTAAAGATCATTATTTTGTGTATTTGGTGTAACAGAATATGTAGCATTACCTTTCTTCCAAAAGTATGATGTCAATCAATCTCCTCCAACAACAAACAGTCTGACCAAAAGCTTTCAAGACGTTTGAACCTCATAAATCAACGTCCTGTGGATTTTTTGACTCATTCCTCTTCGCCTCGGCCAGACGTTTCCTTACCTTTCATTAGTCAACCTGCACCAGCAACAGAGGCCGACGGGTGCCAAGAAACTTCATAGGCACAGCTTGCCACCTGCATCAAATCAGCAGCCATACAAATGAAATAAAACACAAATGTAGATGCGTTCCAGACAGATAGTCTGCGTTTTTAAAGGCCTGACTCTTACATATGTGGAGCAGCCACATGGTTTGACTTTTCGGTGTCAAATCATAGGTTATCAGATCTGATTTAGAGTTTCCACACAACGTTTTAAGATGAACTGTCTCCAGGTGCTACGTAAACCATGCAATATTTGTGGCAGAAAAACGTTTTAACTGGAATTCCACGTTTAAGAGTGTCTTGCCGCTGCCAAACTTAGAAAACAAAGGAAGTGTGAGATGTTAAGGGATTCATAATCAATGCATACAGTGCTTCTCGTCGAGTGTTTGACCCAACTGGATTTAATAGCCTCGAGTGAAAGGTTGCATGACGCAAAGTTTCTCTGCGGAGGAATGGTTTTCACCTCCTCATCCTGTAATGGCTTGGGCCTCTCCGCTGCTTTGTGGTTTGTGACGCGAGGGCTGAAAAATGCCCAGACTGACTCTTTTCTCTCTCGTTCGTTCTGAGTATGGAAAACAAATGAAACGGGCATCATTTCCTGTCTAAAATTGCATTAAGAGGACGTAAAATGTATCCAGCAGTGCTTCTGCTGTAGAAGAAGAAGTCACAGCATCGGCATAAGTTGAAAACGAGGTCATGGCAATGCTTTTACAGGACTCTCTAAACTTCACTAAATAAAGTGTAGTTATTGGAAGAAAAATTGTCTTAAAGTAATCAGTCAGATTAGACCAGAAAACATTAGTAAAATAAATTAATAGTTAATTATACTCTAAATGCACAACTGGTCAAAAGTTTGGCGTAATTAATTTTTTTAAATGTTTTTGAAAAAAGTATTTTCTGCTCACTAAGGCAGCATTTATTTGATCACAAATACAGTAACAGTTTTTTTTTTTTTATTATTATAGTTAACTAAAACCATAAAAAAATAAAACAAACATAAATAAAACATAATAAAGTGAATATAATATAATATAATATAATATAATATAATAT